CCCGGGCTCCTTGGGGCGCCTCCGTCCTTTTAGCTGCCCGTCTTGATATTTTTCGTCTCGGTTTTTTTTTGTTTTCCCCAGGCGGGAAAACCAAAGCCCTTGATGGCGCTTTTCGCCGAGGCCTGGGCTGCCGGCGTGGGCGGTGCCTGCCTCGGCGGCGTTTAACGCCGTGGTACAGCAGCCCGACGTGGGCGCCCGTTCCCGTATCTGACCCCGAGTTGTGGCTGGGGGAAGGATGCTCTTTGGAGGAGCCTTTCAAAAGATGCGGCCCTAGGTGGAGATTGGGGAGTTGGCTTGTGCGTGGACCGGTTTTCCTTTCTGGTAACGGCTTCTCACAACCATGGTGCACGGGATGTTTTGGGGTACTTAAAGATGCTGCTTCCTCTAGAAGTGCATTGCCAGTATCAGCCTTATTCCATTGCAGATCTATGGTGGAACAAAGGCAAGCTTTAATTCCCAGGTGCAGTATGTTATATTGCTAAAACTTTCATATGATGGATACGTTGGTTCATCAGATTTTCAGGACTTCCTAGTTACCATCAAACAATTAGGAGTATCTACAATGCTAGCTAATCCAATGTGATTTATGGTGCTCAGTGTCCAAAGAATTTTAACGGTGAAAACACCTGTGCATTTTCTGTTTCCTTCCTGCACAGTATCTACTCTGCCTGAAGTCCCACAGTATCTTACTTGGCAGTAACTTCATCGCACAGACATTTGCCCAGTACATTTGCCCATTGCTTTAATCTGAAAATCTCTATGTTCTTCAGTTTTGTTAGAGGTATATGAATTGCTCTCTGGTAGCTGGGGATAATGAATCACTGGTACTGATATGGAAGTAATATACTTTCATATAGCCTCTACTCTGATGCTTACTCTGAGTTATTGTTCATTCATGTAATGCTCTTATGCCCAAAAGAAGAGGGAGGAAAAAAGATGGTAGCAATAGTAGTACATTAGCAATTAGGCAAAATTCAATTAATACTGAGAGAGCATATATACTAGATTGGGCATAGGTTATAACAGTGATACAGAGCGGTCCTTATTTGAGGATATGGTCTGCAACCCACAATTGTGCAATGAGGTTTCTAGTCTGTGAAACTTTAGATTACAGGGTTTGCATTTTGTGCATCTCTACAGAGCCGCTTGTTGTCTGTCTTCTAGCTGCCTCATTCACACAATGTCATTCTAGTACACTGCGTGGGTAGTACGTTCTTGAAGGAAAGCACTACGTATTCCTTTTTTGTTTTAAGAAGCATTTGTTACATTAAGCTGTCCTAAATATAGAAATAGGTATAGACATACTGTAAAAGTAGTCAAGAGTGCACTGGATGCTCATAACACATATCTAGCACAATAAAGCAAATTAGCTTTGGGAGCTTTCTGCACACATTCAGTGCGCTAATGTAAGTCATTTGATTGTAGGTAGATCTGCACTTTTTGGAAAAGTGAAACTTCCAAAAGAGAAACTTTTTGGTATTGTTGATGTTACATGCTCGCATTCAAAGAGCACTCCAAACATCACATCATATGGAAAATAGCTGTTAATTGAAAAGTATTTATTAATAGGGTAAAAAGGCCCTTAACACTGTATCAAGAGCTTCCTTACTTCATTAGTCCTTGAGAAGTTCAGTTCTGATTGTAGTAGTTGAAGTTGTACTCTGAAGTAGTTGTCTGATTTAAGGAATCTCTGTCTTCTTTTTTTTTTTTTTTTCTTTGAACAGTATTGTCAGAAAAGCCAACAACTTTCACAATCACTGTGACATCTGAAGCGGGAGAAAACGATGAAAGTAAGTTGATCATGTCTTAAACTTATATAGGAGGAGTTTCTGCGTAAGCCTAATTCTATCACTGACAACTAGGTATACCTCCACTTAAGTCCTCGTAGGGGCCTGATCCAGCAAGCATTCCTCAGCAAATGTAGTTCAAGGATTCTGGTGATCTGTGTTTAGTTTATAGAAATGTTGCGCTCTCTCCCTAGGGCTGCTTTCTGACATGCTGAATTTCAAATGCTTTGTAGCGTGGCTTCAAAAAGTATGGGTTGTCATCATCCCCATAGTAGCTTACAGCCATGTTGTGAGGTGATTTTTTTTCTAGCAACTGTATGTATACCAGCCACATGGGAGAGTTGAGTCTGTGTATTGTGAATATGCAGCCCTTAAGGAACAGTTCCAGAGCAAAGAGCTGTGGGTCTCAAGTCCCTGCGTATTTGTTGGGTATCAATGGTTGCATGGGCTTGTTGTAAGGAAGCCTTGCTCCAAGTAAATTTGAGAGCTGCTGTTCTGGGTTATTGTATCAGAAGGAAGAAACTGGTGCTGTCTCCTTCAGTTTTAAAGGAGCGAGTCCTGCTTGGAGCAGGTGTCTGTGTTGAAGAGACTGCTGGGCTGCCAGAACTGTGAGCCTGGAACTGAAGGAAGTCTTCTCCCTGGTATTCTGGCAGGACGCATCAAAGGAACTTGATTCTCTTTTGCCTTGTTCCCATGTTATCCTAGCTCTGGGTGGCTTCAGGTTGAATGCGTTCTCCTTAGGCGGTTCTCTGCTTAATAAAGTCTACTGGAAATTGTGATCTTGTCATACGATTTATGTGGAGCCCTGGTACCCAACACAGAGGTTGATACTCCAGCCAGGCACACAGAATTTAAAGTATTAATATGCTGAGATTCTCTCTAGATCTGTTGTTAGGACTCTTCCTCATTTTCTCCAGCTTTAAGTGGAATATGAGGGAAAAGAGATTACTGCTCTAGTACCCACCGTACCACAGAAGGTTTTCCAGTCTTTCGAAAGACCTTTCAGACATTACTAGCCTGTAATAGTTTATGTAAGGGTAAACTTCATCGTCTTAATTTCTCAGAACTCTTGCATTATATTTAAATCTGTTCATATAGTTTTAACATCTGTGTAAGGTGACTGTTCCTTTAAGACAGAATATTCTGTATTTTAAAATCTTTAGGCTGCTGGTGCAATAGAAAAATAGACAATTAAAGTTACATAGAGTTATCACCATAAGAATGTCTTTTTTATCTTGTAGCTGTCCAAACAACCCTTAAATTTACCTATAGAGAAAAATATCCTGATGAAACTCCACTTTATGAACTTGTCTCACAGGAGAATCTTGACGATAATGATGTCACGGATATAATAAAACTACTAGAACAACAGGTAAGGAAAATGGAATATCTCAATTCAGCTTGGTATCCCTTCACACTTTAACCAGAATTTCTCTCTCAAATCAGTTGTTTTCTGAGGTATGTGCTACTGATGTGAAACCTATTCCACACTGTAAGGACTGACTTTGAGGTTTGAGTTTGGTAAATGACATTATTGAGGTAAATTATGTTAATGAGGTAAAAGATAGGGCTAATTCAGTGTGCACATGTACGATAATGAAATGGAAGTGCTCTAGGACTTCATCTTTTTTGCAGTTCTAGCTTAAGGTGAATTTATTTAACTTTATGTATAGTATTTGTGGAAATAATCCACTTTTATTTGGAAAGATTAAAAAATACTGTATTGATTCTTGATTCTTTTTAATAACATAACTATTTCGTGGGGGGGCGGCGGGAATTTCTTCAACCCTTGGGATCCGTGAGAGCACCTTGTGAAGGAATGAGAAAGAAACACTTCTTTGGTTTCAGGAGTTCTTGACAAGTCCTCCCTGCCTTAAAATTGCCTTGATATGTTCAGCAGGCATTCTTTCTCTTCAGTTTACTTCATATAACCTTCCTTGCTGTCGTGGTTTAACCTCAGTCGGCAACTGAGCACCACGCAGCCACTCGTTCA